GGAGCCGGAGCCAGGAATCGAACCCAGGAGCGCAGCGCGGGCACGGCACCGCAGCCGGCGGCGTGAGCACAGGCAGAGCGCCCACCCCCGCCGCCGAGTGTGCAGCCCCGTGAATCCTCACACAGCCATGGGGCACAGCCTGCAGGAGTCCAGAGCATTCTCAGGACCCCAGCCCCACCTCCTTAGCAGTCACCACCAGCTCTCCTCCCACCACCATCTCTCCTCCCAGCCCCATCTCTCCTCCCACCACCATCTCTCCTCCCAGCCCCTCGCTACCAATAAACTCGTTTATGTCCGAATTTGCCTATTTTTTTTATTTTTTTACAGGCAGAGTGGACAGTGAGAGAGACAGAGAGAAAGGTCTTCCTTTTGCCGTTGGTTCACCCTCCAATGGCCGCCACGGCTGGCGCACTGCGGCCGGCACACCGCGCTGATCCGATGGCAGGAGCCAGGTGCTTCTCCTGGTCTCCCATGGGGTGCAGGGCCCAAGCACTTGGGCCATCCTCCACTGTACTCCCTGGCCACAGCAGAGAGCTGGCCTGGAAGAGGGGCAACCGGGACAGAATCCGGCGCCCCAACCGGGACTAGAACCAGGTGTGCCGGCGCCGCGAGGCAGAGGATTAGCCTAGTGAGCTGCGGCGCCGGCCATGAATTTACCTATTTTTTAAAGACTTACTTATTTGAGGGGGTCGGCGCTGTGGCGCAGTGGGTTAAAGCCCTGGCCTGCAGTGCGGGCATCCCATATGGGCACTGGTTCTAGTCCCGGCTCCTCCACTTCTGATCCAGCTCTCTGCTGTGGCCTGGGAGAGCAGTAGAAGATGGCCCAGGTCCTTGGGCCCCTGCACCCAACTGGGAGACCTGGAAGAAGCTCCTGGCTCTGGATCGGCGCAGCTCCGGCTGTTGAGGCCATCTGGGGAGTGAACCAGCAGATGGAAGTCCTCTCTGTCTCTACCTCTCTCTGTAACTCTGTATTTCAAATAAATAAAATAATTCTTTAAAAAAAAAAAAGACTTATTTGAAAGAGTTGCAGAGAGAGGTAGAGGTGGTGGAGGGGCTTACATCCACTGGTTCACTCCCCACATGACCACGACGGCTGGAGCAGAGCTGATCCGGAGCCAGGAGCCAGGAGCTTCCAGGTCTCCCAGTGGGTGCAGGGGCCCAAGGACCTGGGCCATCCTCCACTGCTTCCCCAGGTGTATTAGCAGGGAGCTGGACCGGGACTCAAACCGGCACCCATATGGGATACCACGCCACAGGCTGGGGCTTTAACCCACTGTGCACAGTGCAGCCCCAGAATTTGCCTATTCTTACAAAAAAAAAAAAAAAAAAGATTTATTTGCTTACTTGAAAAGCAGTGACACGGTGAGAGGTCACTCCCCTGCTGCTCACGCCCTGGCCGCGGTCGGGCTGGAGGCTGGGCCAGGAAGTCCGTCCAGGCCTCCCCCGTGGGAGGAAGGGACCGGGCAGTGAGCATCCTCTGCTGGAGCAGGAGTGGAGGAGCCGGGACTCGAACCCGTGCTCCAGTATGGCTGCACCACAGCGCCCGCCCGGGCCTTGCCTGCAGTCGCCAGGCCACGTGGTTACCAGGCCACGTGACTGCACTCACAGGAGCCACGGGTCCTTGTGGACCGCTTCTTCCGCCAGCACGTCCTCCAGGATTGGGCACTCTGGGGCAGCACCTGCCTCCTGTTCACAGCTGAGTAGTACTCCACCACGTGGTGGATCTCACCATGCTGACAGCTGACAGCGTGAGGCACGCCCATCTCCCCCGCTGCCCACTCGGCCGCAGCACCTCACAGAGCCCCCGGCCCCCACGGGGCCCTGGTTTTCCATGGCCACACCAGCCTGGCGCCAGTGGCCGTGCCCACTCCGGATCTCCACAGAGCCTTGCCCGTTCAGGAATGGACGCAGCCTTGTTGAGCCTGGGGTCCCTGCTGGCCGGGCCTGACTCGGGGGAGGGGTGGGCACCAGTCCCTCCGGCCGTGCCCTGCCCTGGGCTGGCCCCGGTGCTCAGCACAGGCCCGGGCCCCCCAGGACAGAGCCTCTGCCTGACTCCGACCCCAGGGAAGCCGCAGAGGCCCAGCACGGCTATGAGCCCCTGGCCGTGGGGTCCGCCGCGGCCCACTGTGGCCCCTTCCTCCTGGCTCCACGTAGTGAGGCTGCTTAAAAAACAAATAAATAAGGCCGGTACCACAGCTCAATAGGCTAATCTTCCGCCTGCAGCGCTGGCACACCGGGTTCTAGTCCCGGTCGGGGCGCCGGATTCTGTCCCGGTTGCCCCTCTTCCAGGCCAGCTCTCTGCTGTGGCCCGGGAGTACAGTGGAGGATGGCCCAAGTGCTTGGGCCCTGCACCCCATGGGAGACCAGGAGAAGCACCTGGCTCCTGCCTTCGGATCAGCATGGTGCGCTGGCCAGAGCGAACCAGCCGTATCAGCCATTGGGGGGTGAACCAACAGAAAAAGGAAGACCTTTCCCTCTCTCTCTCTCTCTCTCTCTCTCTAAATAAGTCTGCCTGTCAAAAAAAAAAAAAAAAAGGCAAATAACTGGGGGCCGGCATTGTGGCGTGGCAGGTCTAACTGCGACCGGCAATGCTGGGCCGGCACGGGTTCGAGTCCCAGCTGCTCCATTTCTGAACCAGCTCCCTGCTGATGCCCCCGGGAAGGCCGCGGAAGCCGGTCCTAGTCCTTGGGCCCCTGTGCCCGCGTGAGAGACCCGAAAAGGCTCCTGGCTCCTGCCTGGCCCGGCCCGGCCACTGCGGCATCTGGGGAAAGAGAGCGCGGATAGAAGTCTGTCTCTGTGACGCTCTCAAATAAATAAAATAAATCTTTTTTTTAACTGAGATGTTTAATGCCTGAGGCTGTTCAGTTTAATATTTATAAAAAATAAATAAATAAAAGCAAAGGCGTGCTGACCACGCCAAATGAGCGGCCGGGGTCGGGGCCCAGCAGGGAGACGCCGCGTGGCAGCCCGGGCTCTGCGGGCACCGGCGCCTCTCCAGCCGCTGGGCCTTTACCCCCCGCCCCGCCTGCCCCCAGGAGGGTCCCTTCCCAGCCCCAGGGCACCCTCCCCTGCAGCCCCCCTTACAGAGACGGCACCGCCCGCTTGGCCTTTCTCGCTCGGGCCACCAGGGGTCTCCGTGTGGCCACCTGGCTTCCTCCCGGGTTTTTCTGCACGTGCTGCGTGCTGGGTGTGTTTCCCAGGGCAGCCTGAGGGTGGGTGGTCCCACGACCTCCCCCCTTCCTGGGCTTGCAGGCATGGGGTCTCCAGAGAAGCCGCCAGGCTTGGGTTACAGGTACAGCTGTGCCTAAGGGGATTCCTGGTGCATGGCCCGTCTGGCCATGAAGTTCCACCTCAGCCGCAGTGGGGCCCAGGGCACGTGGTCTGGGGGTGCCCCCCAGGCAGGGCCTCGTGGCCTCGCACCAGCACGGCTCTCGGGGCCCTGGGCTCTCTCTGGACCCCAGAGTCGTGTCCTGGGCCTGCCCTGGTGAGATCCCCCAAGCTGCAGGCGTCGGCTGGCACACTTCCCCTCCCCCAGCGGAGGCCGGCACGGGACGGGGCGTGGGCAGGGCCGATCCCTCCGGCAGCAGGGGGCGGGCCCCCGCCTGGCCAGATCCTCAGCTCCCTTGGCCGGTGGCCCTGTGGCCGCAGCTCTGCCCCCCTCCCTGGGTGTGTCTCCGCTTCCTCTTCTTATTAGGACAGCAGTCCCTGGAGCCGGCTCCCGTGTGACTCAGCTCGGCTAATCACAGCTGCCCGTGACCTTGTTTCCAAATACGGTCACAGTCCAAGGTCCTGCGTGGACACGCAGTGTTGGGGGCACCGCTCGACCCAGCAGGGAAGGGGACTGAGAAGGTGAGGGGCACGGACCGCCCCGTGACAGCTGGCGCCTGACCCCGTGCGGCACCACGGCGGCCTGTGGGTATGCAGGGAGCCACCTCCTGGGAGGGGGCACAGCGCCCACCCCAAAGACTGGGTTCTGTGTACGCACTGGGCAGGACATCAGGAAACACACAGTGTGTGCAAAGGGACAGGTGGCCAGAGGTCACCGGAGAACCTCGGTGCACAGCATGACGGCCGTGGGGTGAGGGCCAAGCCCACCCCACCCCACAGACCTAGTTTCCCAGCCCCGTTACTCTCAGGATCCTGCTTCACGGCGGGAGAAGACAGAGCCCAGAGAGGTCAGGCGACCCGGCAAAGGTTGCACAGTAGAGCTGGGGTCCGGGCTTGGAACCTGTGTTCAGCTGACCCCAGGCTCCTTGCTTTTATACACACTTACGAAAGCATCTCCTCTGTGAAAGCCCCCAACCCCGCCCAGAGGCAGCGGCGGAGGCCCGAGGCCAGTCACGGCTGACCTCTCGCACGTACGGTGCAGCCGCGGTCAGACGCACAGCCAATCAGTGAGCGCCCCTGCGTGTGCCTGCGTCGTCTGGTTTTGCTCTTTCTTTTCTTGCGTGCCCCCGACCACGTGCCAGGCTGCAGGACCCCTCCCCCACGCACACCCGGGCGTGCACCTGCCAAGGGCCAGGGTCTCCGCTGCTCGGGGCTGGCAGGGAGCAGTGGGTGAAGGGAGGAGCTGAGCGGCCCCAGCAGCCCTGGGACGCCCACAGCGGCCCCTCCCCCGCCCTGAGCCCACCCCCCCCTTCCACACACACACACGGCGGGCGACGGGCTCAGCACCCCTGTCTGGTAGGGAGACAGAAATCCGCCTGTGTGTGCCAAGGGGGCCCGGCCTGGAAGCCGCCCCGGGTTTCATGCTACAAAGTCCCGCCCTCTCCCAGAGCCTTCCCAGTGGTCTCTGCCTTCCCCCACCCAGGGAGGGCTCCCAGGAGAGCCCTCCTGCCCCGCGCCTGGGCTACCCTGGCGGATGGCACTGGGGAGTGGCCTCCCAGCAGGATTCTGACCTGCCGCCCACCAGGCAAGTCCTTTGTCCGGGAGAGGGTGGGGGAAGGAGACGCGGCGGGACCCCACTTGGACGCCCGGGCTGAAGGCAGACGGCTCCCGCCCCGCTGACCGCCCACCTGCCCGTCAGCTGTGCGCTCTTGGTCAAGCTTGGCTGACAGGCTCACTGCATTCTGTCTCACTCCTGAACTCTTTTTCTTTTTAATCTATTTATTTATTGAAAGGCTGAATTACACAAGAGAGGGGAAGACAGAGAGAGAGAGAATCTTCAACCGCTGATTCACTCCTCGGAGGCGGCAATGGTCAGGCGCTCCATCCGGGTCTCCCGCACAGTGCAGGGCCGGAGCGCCTGTGCCGTCCTCCGCGGCTTTCCCAGGCGCATGAGCTGGGAGCCGGACAGGAAGCAGAGCAGCCGTCTCTGCTACACACGGCCCTTCCCACAACGCACCTGAGCCTCACTCCATCACGCCCGAGCTGCCTGCGTGACCACGCGCACGCTGACTCCCTCCCAGGGACCGCCCCCCACAGACGCCCCCCGCTGCCCCGCCACACGCTCAATCAGGAGGCGGCCTGACCCTGGGTGGGCTCGCGGCCGGACGGCGCTGGGCATAAAACCTCGTCCCGGGGCGGGGGGGGGGCAGAATCCCGCGTGGAGGCGCTGTGCCTTCTCCCCACATTCCAGGGAGCCCCAGCCTGTGCCCCCACGAGAACGCGCACCTGCACAGGGTGAGGAGGGCTCTCCGGGACCCCTGCCTGGGCGGCCTGGAGCCCCTGAGCCGGCCGAGGCTGGGTGGCCTCCCTGTCCCGGGAGGCTGGCGCTGGGAGGCATTGCCTGGGCGACTTCCTGCAGCTCCGCCCACACCTGGCTGTCACCTGGCAACCAGGTGGCCGCGTCCCCTGAGCCCAGCCCTGCCAGGCTTCTCCTGGGCCCGGGACCCCTGGGGCCCTGTCCTCGCTCCCGTGACCAGGCCAGCCGCCGCCGCCCGTCACAATGAACCCCGTGCTCTCCAGGTGAGTGCCTGCGCCAGCGTGGCTGGGGCGGAGGGAGGTGGGAGTGGGGTTCCGGGGCCTGGTGCAGCCAAGACCGTGAAGGTTGCGGGGGCTGCTGGGGTGGGGCAGGGGGGAGCAGACTCTCTCCCAACTCCAGCCCCCCCCCCCCAAGGCCCAGGGAGAGCAGCTCAGGTCCAGAGGGGCGTTACCCGCTGCAGCCCGACACTTGGGTTGGAGCCTCTGGCCCCGTGGCCTCCACCTGGCTAACCCCCTTCCCACCTCAGCGGCCGGCCCCACGGCCCCGCCCCACCCGTGCCCGGTGGTCGCAGCCCCTGCTCACTGGGAGGCGAGCTCACTGCAGGGGCCCGGAGCCCCCAGTGTGCATCTTAAGCAGCCGCCAGCCTCGCTCCCGCGGGTTCAGGCTCACAAGCCGGGGGTGGGGGTGGGGCCTGGAGTTTGCACCTGGCTGGCCGTGGGGGTCATGGGGTCCGAGGACTCAGCTGAAGGGGCAGTGGCACATCCCTGCTGAGACGTGAGGCCGGCACTCAGGCCCAGGGCGTGGCTACCGCAAGTGCCACCCCAGTCAGGGTTCGGCAGGAGGAAGACAAAGCTGCGCCGCCGATTCCAGCCTCAGGGGATGAGGGGGGCTGCTCAGGGGACTTGGGTCAGACAGAGAGAGGCAGGGACAGCGACAAAGGCCACGGAGGCGGCGGAGCCCCAGCGTCAGCGGGACCCGGTCTGACCGGGAAGTAGACGGCGACGCGGGCCGTTTGCCCAAGCCCAGGCCACGAGCAGCCTCCGCGCACGGGGACCGTGGTCAGCAGCCGTGACTGGGGAGCGGAGGGAGCATCAGCTGTCCCCCCCCCGCCACACGAGACGGGAGGTCAGGGATGGTGTGGGGGAAACACCACCCTCCCCCGCCACGCATGTCAGAGAGCCCTGCAGGGCAGAGGGAGAGTGTGTGACCCGGTGGGCAGGCACACGGAGCGGCTCCACCGGCGACACAAAAGGCCCTTCAATGGATTCCAAGGACAAAGGCCAGGTGTGCAGCCAAGCCCACGTGTGGCTCCTGCCCGCCATTCCCCACGTACCTGGCGCTGTCCCCAGGGACCAGGCTCAAGCTGCAGTGGCCCCTGTGTGCCCACCCCCATTGGGGGTGTCACTGCCCAGCGCGGCCCCACCTCCCCAGGGACAGCCAGGTCCGCGTGATGGAAGCCACGGTGGCCAACGCCGACAAGTACCTGGGACAGCTCTGCTCGCTGCTGGCCGCCTACACGCGCAAGACAGCGCGGCTGCGCGACAAAGCCGACCAGCTGGTCAAGTGGCTCATTGGCTTCGCCAACACTGAGAGCCCCGAGCTGCGGGCCACCCTGAGGGACTTCGCCGAGGACCTGGCCAAAATACAGGATTACCGGCAGGCCCAGGTGAGCAGTGGCCATGCCAGCGGGACACCCTGAAGGGTCCCCTGTGGTCACGCCACCTACAGGACGACAGCTGTGGTTGGGCAGGGGGCGGGTGGGGCAAAGGGACTCAGGAGACCCCTGGCAGGAGGTGCGTCCCCGGGCCCACCCACCAGGGCCCAGAGAGGGCACAGAGATCCTGAGGACGGCTGGGTGTCGGGGGGAATCGTTAGAAGGCTCCTGGCACGCGCGCCACCCTCTGTGAACTCCAGAGAACGGACGGTCCGGGCACTGGGGAGGCATCAAGTCAGGTGGCCGCAGGGCGACACAGCTGCCGCTCCCCTGGCCACGCAGACCTGGGCAGCTCCCTGCCCACCCGGCATCCTCCTGTCCCAGAGCCAAGGCCGGGAGTCAGCCCGCAGACGGAACGCCAAGGCCCACCAGCAGAGGGCGCTGCCTCCCTGGACCTCTCCACCCCAGAGGTGGCTCCTGGTTTTTAAAAGGCTAGCTTCTCCTCCAGGGACAAAGGACCCCCGTGTGGTGGTCTGCAGGGAGGGAGGGGGCGGTCGCCAGGAGAGCACTCGGGTGGGGGGACCCCAGCCCCTGCAGCAGGGGCAGCCGGCAGGATTTTCAGGGGACCCTGTTCTCAAGGTCCTGGGACACACTGGCTACTCTTGGGTGCCCCACGGTGGCCACACCTGATGGCTCACCAGAAATGCAGATTCCTGGGCCACAGCGCCCCCTGCACCTTCCCAGCTTCACGCCTCGGTGGAGGCAGGGAACAGCCTTGGCGCTGTGGGGGGGTGGGGGGTGGAAGTCCAGTCTGCCCAGCGCTCGCTCCCAGCCCCAGCCTGTTCCCACCAGGAGGCTCAGTTTTCCCAGCATGCACGGCGGGCAGCAGAGGGCAGGGTGAGGGCTGGCCCGTGGAGGGGCTCGGCACGCACTCTGCCCTTCCTCCCTCCCTGGAGACGACCCTCACGGTGCTCGGTGCCAGGCGGGAGACCCCGAGGGGGTACAGGGGTGCTCTTGCTTCACAGGTGAGAGCAAGCCTCCGCCAGGTTCGGCGCTGCACCCCGGTGCTGGGAGGCGGGGCAGCCCCTGTGCCCCGGCTGCGGGCTTGCAACCCTGCAGGCGGAGGGAAGGCGCGCTCCGCTCCCCCGCCCCTCCTCGGGCCTGACTCGCGTGGCAGCTGTGGGGTGCAGGCGGGCACGCCCGGCTGACTCCGCCCGCCCCATGCATGCCCCCAGGTGGAGAGGCTGGAAGCCAAGGTTGTCAACCCCCTGAAGCTCTACGGGGCGCAGATCAAGCAGAGCCGGGTGAGCGCGGGGCGCCAGGGGCCGGGTCTCTCGGGGGGGGGGGATCCTCGGGAACCAGCTCTGTTCTCTTCTTTAGGCGGAGATCAAGAAATTCAAACGTGCCCGAAATCATGAGATCAAACAACTGGAAAAGCTGGAGAAACTGAGGCAGAAGTCACCCTCGGATCTGCAGAAGATCGTATCCACCCCTGAGCCGGGCCTGGGGCTGCGGGGCTGGGGGCTGGGGGCCGCTTGGCACAGGTGCCCCAGGTCTGCTGGGGCCGCCCCCGCGGGGCCACCCGGGAGTAACCCGGTTCCTTAACAGCGCCTCTCCCAGTCCCAGGTGAGTGCCACAGGTCCGGGGCCGGTAAGGAAGGCCCCCCCCCGAGCAGCCAGGTGACTCCCCCGGGCAGAAGCAGGTGTGCCCGGGCCCCCGGCTCGGCATGGGAGAGGCGGGAAGGCCATCGTCGGGGTCAGGAGACCTGGGCTCTGCCCCCTGGGCCACAGCACCCGGCAGCTCAGCCCTCACGGCTCACAGCCCACGTTCCCAGGTGGGCACCCTAGCCACAGCCCTGCTGTCGGGACACGGAGATACAGGGGTGCAGCACCCTCTCCTGCCTTGCCGAGTGGGGCGGTGTCGGCAAGCTGGGGGCAGGGCAGGGCTGGCGAGGACCTGCACGGCTGCCGTACCGGGGTGCAGGGCGCACCTGGGAAGGGCCTGCCTTGGCGCTTCTCCCCAGGGCAGTCCCGGGCGTTGGGGGCTGCCTGGAGGCTTCGCGAGTGCACCTTGGACCCCTGCTGCCATGCGGCCGCCACCCGAGCCTGCCCCCCCCAGCCCCGCCCAGGGCTCCACGAGGGCTCAGCAGGGTGGCGACCCCTCTGGGGAGGAGCCCACTTCCCTGCCCCTCCCAGGGGCTGCCCACTGGGCTCAGCTCGCGCCCCGGCCTCCACCCCAGAGCCAGCGGCGGTGCCCGTCTGCCGTCACGGCCCCACCCCCGACGCCCTGCTCCTGCTGGTGAAGCCCCTGGCCCATTTCCCGGGCACCAGGGGCCCCTCCCGGCTCCAGCTGCAGCAGGGCACACAGCTGAGGTCGGAGGTGGCCAGCACCCGGCCTCGACACGGCCCTCATGGGGGGACGACAGGGGAGCGCCAGACTCCCACAATTCACAGCGCAACAGTGCCGGGGTGGGGGTCGCCGCCCCGAGCCGTGTGGCGTGCAGCCTGACCTGAGCTCCTGCCTGGGACCCCCGGAGCGTCCACGCGGACTGGTGTGGAGCGCACGTCTAGGCCTCTGCCGGGGCGTCCTGGACGCCAGCTCGCTCGCCTGCCTCAGCCCAGCACTCACGCCCAGGTCCCCACTTTGAGGAGGGCCTGAGGCTGGCGCAGGTCACGCAGACAACGCCACAGCCGCCCGAGGGCAGGCTCTGCGCTCAGCTCCCGCACCGTCCGAGTCGCACTCCCGGAGTCCCCCTGCCCCACGTGTGGCACCGGACGTGGACCAGAGGAAGGGGCGACCCTGTGGGCACCAATGAGTCCCCGCAGCCACGCAGCAGAGCCGGTGTCCTGACCGCCCTGGTCTGCGGCCAGGGCCGAGCGAGCTGGCAAGCAGGTCTGTCCAGTCCAGTGCCTGCCCCCACAGCCACACGCAAGGGAGCCGCCCTGGGCGTCCGCCTTGTGAGGCAGGAGAGGTGTCCCGAGCGCGGGACACGGGGTCTCGGGCCTTCTAGAATGGCGGCAAAGGGCCGGAACCCTGGCCGTGACGTGGCCTCCCCGTGTCCCCGGGCCAGGCCGAGAGCAGCCTGCAGAGAGCCTCGGGGGACGCCAGCCGCACCACGCAGCAGCTGCAGGAGGCGGTGGACGGCTTCCAGGGGCAGAAGCTGCGGGACCTCCAGGTCAGGGCGCTGGGCCTGCGCCGGGAAGCCCTGGCTGGCCTGGGGGCTGGGTTTCTGTGTGCGCCTGCGTGTGTGTGTGTGAGCCGTGCCTCGTGGCTCCCGGGACAGTTAATCCTGGCCGCTCAGAGCAGCTGTCCCGACACAGCTGGCTCCCCTGGAAGCCAGCAGTCAGCAGCCCCGGGCACAGCTCCCGAGCGGGACGCCTCGGCAGGCTGCCCCCCGGCCCCCACCCCGCAGGGTGGCCGTCACTTCCCCCTTGCCCTCTCCTGAACAGCAGGCACGGAGCCAGGGACTCCCCCTCCCCCCGCATCACGGACCCCCGGGCCCAGAGCCCCAGCTCTCACGGGGACGCTTCAGGGAATTGGGGTCTCGCGAGACAAGCCCATCACAGGGACCCCCACCCCCACTCGCAATCCGGCCCTCGGCCACTTTCCATGTTGTCACGCATGGTCAGGAGGGCCGTTCCCAAGACAAAGGCCCAAGCCCTTCCCCGGGCTCCGGGAGCCCCAGCCCGGCCCTCCAGCCTTGTCCTGGCCTGCCACTCCAGGCTCAAGCGCACCAGGCCCGGCTCAGCTCAGAGCTCTCTGCCGGGAAGTGCTTCCGGCTGCCCCACCCCCGCTCTCTGCCCCCACCGATGCACTGTGCACTGCGTGTGCCCGTGCACCTTCGCACGCGACGGGTGGAGCGGCCGCACCTGGGGGAACCCGCAGGCCGTTACTAAGTGCCTGACGTGCGCAACCCGCGCAAAACACCCAGCTCTCGGCCTCCAGGTGCGGGGCTGGGGCCGTCAGGAGCGCCCGGTTTAATTAGGTACGGGAAACGCGGGGTTGGGCTAACGAGCGAAGCAGCCACAGCGCCCCAGGAAGCCCTCCGGCTCCTACAGGACGAAGCGCGATGAGGGAATGAGGGCCAGTGCACTGCCTACACAGGAGCACGTGACCGCGACGGTGCCCTGCGTCCCACGAACGTCCCGGGGCAGGGCCGCGGGCTCTTCCCTGCTCCAGCGCGGGCCTCGGAGTCTGGTGCCGCCGGGGCGCCCGGGAGTCTGACGGCGGAGGCCTGTGACCAGGGTTTCTCTTCGCCCCACTGTGCAGAGGAGGAAACTGGGGCTCAGAGGCAGGCATCTCCCCCACGGGCAGCAGGCGGCCCAGCGCTGCCTCCAGCACGGCCGGGGAGGTGGTGGGCCTGGGTCCCAGCACCACTCACCTTCCCTGCTGGGAAGCGGCCTCGGAGTCCAGACTGCAGGCTCCACCCAACAGGGGCTGACGCAAAGCCGGATGCTCCCGGCCCGGGACGCCCCCCCCCCCTGCCCACAGTAGGGCCTCCTCCTGGGGGGGGTGCCTGCCCGGCTTGGGCGCCCTCACGGGTGGACACCTGTGCTCGAGTGAGCAGGGCCCAGGGGACAGCGGCCGGGAGCTGCCACCTCTGGGCAGGCAGAGGGTTGGAGCGCGAGGGCACCTGAGCCCAGGCCCTGCGATTCCACCCCGGATTCCACCCCAGCAGCGAAGGCACAGCCAGCTCCCGGGATAGGCACACGCGCGGGGTCTCCGTGGGCGCGCTGCCCTGTCAGCAGAGGCCAGAGAACCATCGCGGGTCACAGGGCTGGGGAGAGGCCACGCACAGAGACACCGCCAGACGGAAACAGGCAGGCAGGCCCGGGGCCGACTCCTGACTGAAGAACCAAGCCCCAGAGCTGAGCGGGGAGGGCGGGCAGAGTCCACGGAAACGTGTGGCAGTCAGCTCCAGGGGCGGCAGGGCGCGGTCCTGGCTTCGGAGCCCGCCGATGCGTTGCCCGGTTCAGACAAGTCCAGGTGCAACCCCCAGCCGCGGCGCTGACGGCTCTGGGCTCCCCTCCCCGTAGAGGATGCTCCTGGACTTCGTGACGGTGGAGATGGTGTTCCACGCCAAGGCGGTGGAGGTGTACTCGGGCGCCGTGCACACCCTGCAGAGCTACGACGTGCAGCAAGACCTGGAGGTGGGTGGCGTCCGGCTCTGGGCGTGACCGCCGTTGGTGGCACCGCAGTTCCTCCAGCTCCGGGAATCCCTTCCCGCCTCTGCCTTGGCCGCGGGGACAATTTCCGCCCGCTCAGACACTGGAACCCAGCAGGTCCGGGGCTGTTAACCACCGCCCTGCCCCCTGTGTTTCCCCACCGCCAGTCCTGACCCCGGGGTAGACGGGGCTCAGCCGGGCGGTTCTCACGGCCACCTCAGGCCTTTCACGCGGCCGTCGCCGCTTGGCGGCTGGGCTTCCTTGCCCAGTGTGACAGGGACGGCCACGGTATGGCTACAGGACAGGGTCAGGACCTGCAGGTCCCAGTGCGTGGTGACAACGAGGGACCCTCGGGTCCACAGTCCAGGACTTGAGGGTGGGGACCACAGAGCATTCAATGGAGCAGAGAGCACTTCTGAGCGCAAGGCCCTGGGTGACCGCTCGCGCCACACTCACCCGAGCCCACCTCGCCGGGTGCTGGGGGGTCCTCGCGGCGTGCCTCGTGCTGGTTCCACCAGCGAGGGTCCCGAGACACGGGCCCTGCCGCCCAGGGTGAGCCGGTGCGCCTCCTGCCGCCTTCTGAGCGCTGGCCATGGTGGCTGAGACAGCCCGCAGCCGGGAAGGGGGCGCCCCTCCAGCTCCGCACCTCAGGAGGGGACGTGGGGACCGGCCAGGCTCCCGCCACACCCCCGAGGACGGCCGGGCGCTCCTCCGGCTCTGGGTGACTGCGGACAGGACTCTGGGGCTCAGTTTCCCCACCTGTAAAATGGAACGGGTGTGGAAGCGGACACGCAGTGCCTGAGAATCTTCCAGAAGGGGCCTGGGTTCTGCTGCTGCCGGCGCCCCACGTCTTCTGGTGCCACCACCCCGCCCCGTGTCTTCCAGCTGGACCCGCCCACTCTACTCTCCTCTGCAGGATTTCAGAGCCAAGATGTGGGCAGCACACGGGCACTCCGACGGCCGGCCACTCCCCGGCACTGCCCCCTCTCCGTCTCTGCCATGGTCCCGGGCCAGCCAGGTGAGCCGAGGGCCCCGTGAGACAGGCTGTGACCAGGTGCAGCGGCCAGGGCGAGGGCTGCTGGCGACCCCGAGCCTGCCCAGGAGCGCGCAGAGCCGGTGAGCGCAGACCACGGGTCCCGAGCGCCCCCTGGAGGCGACCGGAGGCGTCTCCACTTCCGAGACGGAGGCCCAGGCCCAGGCCCAGGCCCAGGTGCTGTCCGGTGTCCCAGCCCATGGCCCGGTGGGCTTCGGGGTCCGGAAGTTCTCAGGCACGGGCAGGGCCGCAGGGCCGCAGCCTGGCCCTTCCTCTGCAGGGAGCCCGGAGCCCAGCCCCGTGGGGCACAGCCTGGGGGCGCGGGGTGGGGGCTTTCAGGTCAGACCCACGGCTCCTCGCTGCGGGACCCTGGCAAAGGCCCCGGGCCTCCCTGTGCCCTGCCCGGACGCGCGTGACTCTCGTTCCACAGAGGCCTCAGGACAGCACTCGGAGCAAGAGGGAGGAGGCAGCGGCCGGCAAGGCGGACTCGGCGGAGGACAGCCCCGAGGAGGGCCGCGGCTAGAAGAGGGTCCCTCGGCTGTCCATCGGGAGACTGGGCCCAGGCCCCGAGGGCGCACCGACGCCCCTGCCCTCCCAGGGGGCTCTGGGGGGATTCAATAAACGCCACGACGCACCTCTGCTTCCTGCTGCTGGCCCAGGGCCCCCGGGGGCTGACCCCGGGGTGGGGGCGGGGGCCAGCGCTGCCCACCACCAGGTCCCGCGTGTGCCGGATCCCGGCGGCCGGAAGATACCAGGGTGGGGGCAGGCCAGGCCTCTCTGCGCTCTGGCTGTCCTTGGGGTGCCGAGCCGCTCATGGAAGGAGTCCCGTCCCGTGGGGTTAGGATCCGCCGGCGTGAGCGCCTCCCACCTTGTGTAAAGGCCCCATCACCAAGCACCCTTGGGGACCTGACAGGACCACCATGCTGGGGGAGACCTGGGGGCCAGGCCACGCCCTGGGAGTCCCCGATGGCAGCCGAGCGGCGGGCATGGGGGGCCGTGTGCAGCCTGGGCCGCCACCACCTAGGGCCCCGTGCCTGGGGGCGACTCTGTCCTCTCTGTGCCTGGTGCAGCGTCGTGGGCCAAGGCCCTGGGCCGGACCCCACACTGTGCAAGCGTGGGGCGTCTGTCCCGAATGCCACACGCGTGCCACGCGTTAGCAGGCTGGAGTGGGGACGGCGAGGGACCTGGTGCCCCACACAGGGGAAGGGGTGACTGCCCTGCCCCAGCTGCCAGGGCGGGGCTGTGGGCGCAGCAGGGGTCCCTGCCCGCCCCCCAAGTCCCCGCCGGGGACCCCGCAGGCCGGGGGACTCAGCCCCTACTTGGGGCCCTGGCTTTCCCCTCGGGACCGGGAAACGAGCCGCTGCCTCCGGCTCCTGTGGGGCCGGCATCTTCACCGTGACTCTCTTTACCCAAGATGCCTCCTTCCAGGCTGGACGGCCCTCCCAGAGCATCCTGGGTAACAGGTAAGATACAAAGTATCATGGGGCCAGTCTGAGGCCCGGCTGCTCCACTTCCCATCCAGCTCCCTGCTGTGGCCTGGGGAAGCAGTGGAGGATGGACCAAGTGCTTGGGCCCCTGCACCCGCGTGGGAGACCCGGAGGAAGCTCCTGGCTCCCGGCTTCGGATCAGCGCAGCTCCGACTGGGGAGTGAACCAGCAGATGGAAGATCTCTCTCTCCCTCTCTCTGTAACTCTGCCTTTCAAATAAATAAATAAATCTTTTAAAAATAGAGAGGAACGCCCGGTCAGTCCTATTCCATTCCACACATGGTAACGCCATGCACTTTGTCTGTTGTGTCTGTGTCACTGCACACACGTGTGCACACCTGCACACACAAGCCCACCATGAGGAACTGTGGAAAATGGAATTGAAACAAATCTATTTAAAAAAAATACTGGAACTCATGGGTGTGGAGGGTCTTTGTGACGTCTGTGAAATGTGCCTACTTTGAAAAAACTGAGCGGATTTCAAAAAGTTTTTGAACCAAACTAAACTTGGGTTTTAATCCCATTCTCTGCCAGTGTCTTGAAGCCCCTCCCTCCACTGACAAGCGGGGACTCTGACACCCGGCACACAGTAGGTGCTCACTAAACCAGAGCTGCCTGAGTCCAGCTGCCCTGAGCACGGGTGGGACAGTGGCCGAGAGCCGGCCGTGTCGCTGTTTTCTCGGGAAGTTGCAACAGAACCCGACAGTGCCTCCCCTGGGCCCGGGCTGGGGCGGGGGGCGGGGGTCAGTCCTGGAGTCTGCCCCAGACCCAGCCCAGGCTGGGGTCCATCCTGGAGCCGCTGTCCCTGTCCCCTGGAGGGCCCTGGAGCGCCGCTGGCCCTGCTGTGGGCAGACGGACTCAGCACCACCACCAGGGCAAAGCCGGGCCCAGCGCACAAGAACTCCTGAAGGCCCCCTCTGCCCCTCCCACACACAGCGGCCTCTCTTACTGGGCTGGCCACGTGCGTCCTTGGGCCAGGGCTCGGAGCCTCCCGGCCGCCCCGGCTGAGAGGCAGCCCAGGGTGGGGTGGGTCGCCCCCGCAGGCCCCCCAGCGGGCAAGCAGAACTTGAGAAGACCCCTCCCACGGCCTCATGCCTCCGAGAGACCCACAGGCCTGGCCTAGGCGGGCCAGCAGCTGTCGGAGCCCAGGGGACTGAGACGTTCTAGATTCTGCACAAGGTCCTCCTCATGGGTGCGCGCTCTTTTTCCTGAAAGGTGTTGGGTTTGTCTCCCCCTTGTGGCCAGCCGAGGTGTGACATACTTCTTCCCCTGAGTTCAGCACTGCTCTCAGGCCTTGGCCTTAGAACACTGAGCCGCGCCATTGTGACACTGACACGCGAACTGCTGGTGGCGCTGCACTCCACTGGGCGGCTACCACAGAGCACTCGTGACGGTGGCAGGTTGAGCTGCCAGTCGCCCCCGGCCCCCGGGCCAAGGAGAACACACTAAGGAGAGCAGGGTGGGGCCTCTGACAGTCCCAGCTTTGGGGGGGGGGGGGCACGCGTGCCAGCTCAGCCCACAGCATTTCCCAGCGGAAGTCGGCTTCGGTGACCTGGGGGGCCCTTCCCCACCCCTAACCTAAGCCTTGCAGTTCTGCACCAGGAAACAGACCTGGAGGCCACCTAGCTGGTGCCTCACCTCCCGCCAAGGGCGTGCCTGCGGTGCGCCCCGCGCCGGGAAGGGGCACAGCCCCCAGCTGCAGGGATTTGCGGAGAAAAATCCCTGCTCTGGTCAAGGGCAGCTCACAGGAGCTCCGAACCCAGCAGGCTCCGGGACTGACTTTGCTGTGAGTCCGGAGCCCGTGGGGTGAGCCTGGATCTGAGTTCTCCCCAAACTGCAGGGCACAGAAGGGGGTGAGGGGGGAACCCAGGCCCATCTCTCCCCGCCCCCGGCCGCTACTTCCCAAGACCCTGCCCCCGAGAGCATCGTCCCACCCCCTCCCGTGGACACGCCAGTCACCAGACGCAGCTAGGGTCAGGGCCCCCTGACTCGCCTGCCTCTCACTGGCAGACTGGCCAGCCGGGGAACACGGCGAGAGCGTCACCCCAGGCCGGCCCAGGACGCGGATCTGCTCAACCAGGAACGAATGGGGCTGGTCCCCGTGGGGGCGCCGTTCCTGTGGGTCTCTGTTGAGACTGTGACACCTGGGCCCAGGGCTGCACGGGGACCCAGGTGCAGAATGAAGGCTGGGCAGAGCCAGCTGTGGAGGAGGGGCCCGGCCGTGGGCACCCCGGCTGCACGCCCATGATGGGGACGCGACCCCAGCGGGGACAGGCTGGGTGGGCGACCTGTGAGGCTGGCCTCTGACGCCCCGCACTGCAGAGTGGACCAGGAGCACTTCGGGCAACGCCGTGCCCGGTTCCTGCAGAAATCGAGAGCTGTTCTGGGGAGTCGCGTCCGCGAGGCTCAGGACAAGGAACACGTGACGATGGGAACCTGGGTGAGGTGGCTGAGCTGGAGAGAACCGCGTCAGCGGAACAGAATGGCTCAGCGCGCGCGAGGCTGGGAGAGCGCCCGGAGCCACCAGCAGCAGCTTCACCGTGCGGTCCAAGAGGGTGAGGAGACACCACTCAGACCTCTGCCGGCTGGGCCCCCGGGGCGCACCTTCCCCTCGCCCCTCCCTGAGGGCAGGGCGGGGCCGCTGCCTCCCCCTGCACGAGTGCCCTCCCTTCTCCCCTCTGAGCCCAGGGACCCCTTCTTCAGGCTCTTTCCCAGGCTCCTCGTTGTTCCTGGCAAGCACCCTGCGCGCCCCGCCATCTTGAGTTTTAGGGAATTAGATAATAAAGCTGGTCCAGCCACACGGGCCCTCCCTAATCAAGCCAACGAGTTTGCACGGCCCAGGAAGCTCTGGGCTGCCGGTTACGGCCCTCGCCCCGGGTTAAGGTGACAGTTAGACGGAAACCTCTTACAAACTCCTGTGTGTGTGAACTCTGTGTCTGCCCACTAGGAGCTGGGTCAGCAGGTGCTGCCAGGTGGCCTGTGTTTGACAGCCACGGGAAGTGCTCTCCAAGGCGTGAATGGACTCTGGCCTGGCCGGCCTCGGGGAGGGGACTACCGCAGGGACCACTCGGTTCAACCACAGAAGGGGCAGAGGCGGGGTGGGGGTGGCTCCCAGCCCTGCACGGGGCCGCAGCTGGAATACGGAACCGGGTGAACAGAGCTCAGAGCCCGCACCCTCCTCTCGTTCACTTTTGCTAATTTCAAACCTCCACAGCCCACTTTTTTTTTCTTTTAGCAACAAGAAAATGAAAGCCGACTCCATTTCATCGTGGACGTAACTTACGGTGTCAGAGCTCGGCCCTCCCACCGTGGTCTCACACCGCGGCTGCCATCTGAGTACTGACACGGCCGCTCCTACACACCCATCAGCATTAGTGGGCCAGGCTAAGAGACACAGAAAGGCGGCGCATCTTAGCACCTAAGAAAATGCTGTGTCCTCGCCGGGACCCACGCGCCCCACTGGTCAGACACAGAGAGCCCGGAGCAGCTGCTGGCTTTGGGCACCCGCCTGCCGGGACTGCAGACGCCCTTGCTGGAACGCCCTGGCACTGGCTGCACCCGAGTTCCTGGAAGGATGGCCAGGGCTCTCCTACACCGAGCATCGCTGTACGTGCCCAGGTGTGGCAGTCCCCCAGGCCGGGCCCTGGAAGGAGGAGGCAGCACCCAGGAGAACCCTCAGTGGGCACCCCTGCCTCCCCCGGGACACACACGCCCAGTGAAATGTTCACCAGTACAGCAGGAGCTGGCGGGGCAGCCCCCCCCCGCCCCCTGCCCCCCGCCCCCGATCCCGGGGGGGGTGAGGCCTGCAGACACACCGTGTCCAAATTCCTCCTGAGACGGCTCTTTGAAGAGGCCTGTGGCGGCGGGGGTGGAGGGGTGTGTGTGTGTGTGTGTGTGTGTGCATTTCTGAAGTTAACGTGCTGGGAAAAGCCAGACACAAAGCCCGGAGCCTGGAGGGCACCTCAGAACCCAGTTCTTTGCCTCCGGAAATCAGAACTTCTGCCCAAGAATCCTGAGCGCCGTGTAGGAGGGCGCAGCCTGCGGGTCCTGGTCTCAGTGCGTCCATGTCACGCTGACAGCAAACGACACACTGGTCCCAGGTCCAGAAGGGCCAGGAGTGCTGCACGCTGAGGCCCGGGGGCACCGGAGCAGGGAGGGGCCTGCGCACCATTCATTTCTCTAAAATGGACCCCACAGAGACCTGTGCTACTTAGGGCCTGATGATGGGGGGGGTGCCCCAGCTTGCACAACCTGCCCTAACACACAGCAAGCAAACCGCCAACGTCATGCTGAGGGCTTCCCTGGCGGGCAGAATCCAAGGTGCCCACGCGTGAGTGGGGTGCACACACACACAGACACACGTGCATCACGCCATCGCCCGAGCCTGGCCCTGTCTCCCCGGCTGGCAGAGTGTGTCCAGAGGATGCTGTGTTTCATGCTGCCTCTGTCTTATCCCCGCCTCCCCCCCCACCCCACGCGTTCTATGGCTCAGCCAATCCGCATTCCCTGGGCCACGCGGGGAGGCGTCCCAGGACGACCTCGCGGGCACTGATGGGAAGTGACGACCAGGCGTGCATCTCTGCGCTCACAGATGAGACTAATTTAATCCGACGGAACGCTGGCGGAGGTAGTGAGGGAGGCGGGGTGACAGGGAGAGCCCAGGCCCCGCGTCAGGGTCAGGCCCAGACGGCTATGGCAGGAGGCAGAGGGAGCCCAGGCCAGCCAGCGACATGTGCAGGGGGCTCGGGGCTGGGCAGGCTCTGGGCCCGCACGCTGGGTGCGGAGGGTGAGACCTCGGTGCCCACAGCTGGCCTGCCGTGCCTGGCCCAGCGCCAGGAGGGGGGCTGTGGTCTCCGGCACCGACGATGATGAGGGGCACGCCTGCGGGGTCGGAGAGACACACGAAGGCCTGGGCCGCACAGGGCGTGGACACGCGGCCGGGTCCTCCGGGCTGGCGGGCCCCGGCAGCTGCTGCCCCAGCCGCCTGCCCTGAACGAACAGCAGGTGTCTGTCTCAGGAAAGACGGCTCTCCGGTGGCCGCCCCGTGGCTCCCGGCCTGGGACCCTGGCGACTCGGCTTCAGAGGAGGCTGTGGGCTGCAGACGGCCCGCACAGATTCCAGCAAGACCCGCAGCCCACGGCGCCTGCAGGACGCGGCCAGCCCTTGGGGTGGGGTGGGGGGCTTGCTACAGCAGGAGAGTGACGTCTACACAGCGTTCATTCCCTAAAGGAAGGAGGGGTTGCCTCCAGTCCCTGTTTCGGGGAGGGAGAAAGGAAGGGCAGCCGTGAGCCCAGCCCACACGGCTCGGCGGGGAGTGGTCCCTGCTGTCCGCAGACCCCCGGGCCTGCCCCCACGTCCGCACCTCACGCCTGCCTTATCCAGGGTCCTCAGAGGCCTAGGCAGACGCTGCCCTGTGCCCACCCCGCCATGGCCTCCCTCCGCCTCCCCCTCTCGGTCTCATCTCACGAGCCCGGCACGCGGGGTGCAGACGGCCACCTCGGACTTGACCGTACGATCCAAGGGACACCCTGGCACGTGGGTGGGGGCAGATGCAGGCGGACGGGGGCACGGGCGCCGGTTCTTCTAACTGCTAGTGGCAGGGCGGCGAGGAGTGGCTCTGGGCGCTGCTGGTGTCATGCAGGTCATCGAGGGAGACGGCCAGGCGCCGCCCGGGAAGGGGGCGCTGTCCTCTACTCGGCCGCCATCTGCTCAATGTGGTCGCTGAGCAGTTTGTATTGCTCTGGAAGAGAGAGCTGGGTCACTCCCGGGAGAGAGACGCGACAGGCCAACGGCCCCTCTCCCCGGGAGCGCTCGGCCGCGCCACGGGCTCCGCGGGAGCCGGCCTCGCTGCGGGCACACGGCCCGTGGGCGTGCGCGAGCACCTGCCTGGAAGCTGTGCCGAGCAGGGCGGCCTCCTGGCCCCTCCAGTAGCCCATGAGGGGCGTGGGGAGCCCCGGGACCAGCCTGGGCCTGGGCTGCACGGGGGCTGTGGGATGGCGAGGTGACGGGACCCCTCACCCTTCCTGCTGAGACAGGGCTGTAGCCACACTGATTCAGTCCAGGGCAGGGAACTCTCGCCCCTCCGGAACCTACGCCTCTGCAGCCCCCTTCTGGAGCAGGACAGAACTCCCCCCAGCCCCCGCCCCCAATACTGGTCCTTCCAAATAGGCGGGGTATTCAAAAAGTTCGTGGAAAATGTCTGTTATGAAAAAACTCTACGTGGATTTATAAAGTTTTGCAGCAAAATGAGTTCATCGTTTAACTGCTCTCCTCCGTAACCTTTCTGAGGTACCCTGCTTGTATCCGGGTGCCAGGGTCCTGAGACCATGGGGGAGGGAGACACAGTGCAGCAGGGGCCACACAGAAGGGCTGGCTCCAGGGCCGGGCAGGGTGCCGGCGTCAGCAGCAGGGCCGTGGGTTCCCCCAGCCCCACCAGGGCTGACAAGGCGTGGCCGTCACCCTCACCGTCAGTCGGCCTGGGCAGCCTCCCGCCCAGCAAGCCGCCTGGCAGACACAGACTCCAAACGCAGCCCACGCGCTCCCGTGGGGAAAGGGGAGGGGAGCCACCGCGACAGCCGAGCTCACCCTTCTGACTTAAACTGGGCCATCCTTCTGCAGCCGTGGAGTGGGGGTGGGGTGGAGGGAGGGGTTCCAGGGTGCCCGTACTGGCACCCCCGCCGGCCCCCGCCGGCACGACCCCGGCGCCCGGTCTCACCTTCGTCCAGGTTGCCAATCACAGCCTGCTTCTTGAGAAAGTCATTACACAGCTTCTTGTTCAGCCCGAAGGCCAGCATGTTGTGAGTGAAGGTGCTGCAGAGAGACAGCCGACGGTCACCACTCCGGACCCTGGGGACAGGGACCAGGCAGCCGGCCGGGTCCCCCAGGAGGCGCACCTGGGGCCTGCCTCCGCCCGTCAGCCAAAAATGAAATGCCCAGGTCCCCGAGGAGCCAGCCCGCGGCTCTCGAGGGGCCGCGCTGCGCCCCGCTGTCGTGTTAGGAGGCGGGCTGATTAGGAAACAGAATCCAGGCGGAGTGTGGCCGCCTGCGCTTCTGCTCAGCTGTGCCAGGGCCAGGGCCCTCCCCCGCGGCGCCCGTGCTCACCCCAGCTGCCCAAAGGTGATGTTCTCGTTGAAGCGGAGGCTGTCGTCACGCTCCTCCTGGGTCATGTGGCACCACTTCTCCCTGCGGCACAGGAGGGACGGGCGCAGGCTTAGGCAGCACAGTCCCGCCCCTGCCACTCGCCCCTCCCTGCTCTGACCCGCAGGCTCGGCTGGCGCGGCCTGCCCGGCCCAGAGGGGAGCCGTCCGCACTGCAGGGCCACCCGCCACCCTGACGCTGCGCCCGAGGGGCCCCAGACGGAAGCTGTTGACGTCACTATTCCTGCCGTGAAGAGACCAGCGCCAATGCGCTTTACTGCCCTGGGGGCACGGGGCAGCGGCTGCCCCGAGCGTCTGCAGGAACAAGAAGGGCCCGTGCCCTTCCTGCAGTTAAAAACTGGGGTCCCAGGCGCGCCTCCCAGTGGGGAGACGCCCGAGGGGCAGGGGCCTCGCCAGTGTCCAGCACAGTGGGCCGGCGCAGTTTCCGCCGGAGGCTGTGTGCAGAGGGCTGGCCCCGTGCTCCACGGCTTCCTCCCCTCGGCTTCCCACGGCCCTCGGTGCTGCTTCTCCACCGCCTGCCTCCAGACACACAGTCTCCCCGCCGAGCCTCCCAGCCGTGGCCCTGTGGCTGTGGGACCCTCACGAAGCCCGCAAGCCCTGGAAGAAAGCGCTGGCAAGCCTGGGGCAGGCCTGGTCTGCCGTGGCCCGCGCGTGGAGGGGCGCACGGGCTCCTTTTCTGCACAGGGTGGGGAGTCTGTGCTTGGGCGTCTGCAGGCCCCACACCCAGAGGCCTGGGAGCAGCCACAGGAGGAGGCTGCAGGGTCGAAAGCCCTCCTCTCCTCCTCCTCTCCCTGCGGGCCGCGCCCCTTCCCCGCCCCAGCCCTGCACTCCTCCAGTCGCCGGGGCGGTGACAGGCCCCGGCCTGTGCGACTGCCTGGGAAGCTAGCTGCAGGAGCGCCCGTGGACGCGGACACAGAGGAGTTCACGCTAGCCCACGTCCCCTACGAGCAAGCCCTGCACGGACGACCCTGAGATACGGCTGCGAGAAAGATCAGGAGAAGGGAGACCAGAGAGTGTGCAGCAGTGACGTCGGGGTGACGCAGAAGCTGACGGAAGAGAAAGGAAACGGAAGGGCGGGAACTCGTAGCCCCTCTCCACCCTCCTGGCCCCAGCAGCTCAGGGGGCTCACGGGGCTCGCGGGGCCCATGAAGGCCGCTTCCAGCTTCCCCGTGCAGCCGGCTGGATCCCAGACGCCCAGAGCGCATCGTGCCGAGCCGCCCCCTTTCGTCCTGCCTGCTTTCCCCAACACCTTCCAGACTTCGCAGTCATCCATCAGTGCCCTCGCCACCCCGGGCCTGGTGTGCAGTCGTGCCCAACGCCGACCACGCAGGGACAGCGCCCTCGGAGCCTCGCAGCAGAGCAGCCCTGGCCCTGTGGCCCCGAGCGGACGTGGTGACGCCTCCCTCGCTGCGGCTGGCCTCAGAGTGGCCGCTAAAGACAGGTGGAAAGGCCTGTGGCACTCGGCAGGGTACTTCCTTCGGACTAGGCTCAATCCTCGGTCCCACCGGAGGGCGACCCTGCACAGGGGGGTCCTGGATGCGCCCAGGCCCTCGCCGCAAGGGAAACCTGGGATGGAGATGCCTGTTTGGTGAACACGGGTGTCGGCAGCGTCTCGCCGCCAGCAGAGCTCCCAGGAAAACAGAAGTCAGGCTGCGGGCACCAGGCTGCCTGGAGACGGGGCCACGCCCCCACCTACTCCCACCGGAAGCAACGCTAGCCCCTCTTCCTGGTAAGGTGCAGGGCGGGTTGAGGACGTGGCCTGTGCTGGTCAGGCCCCATCTGCCCGCGAGGCCCAGGAGGCCGCGGCCCTCTCAGCTCACTCCAGACAGGACTTCCTCCCCGCGGCACCGGGCCGCTGGGGAGGCTGTGAGCGACACTCCCAGCCCGCCGTGCGCCTGGCCTTCAGGACCCAGAGGCCTCGTCACCTGGGTTTTTCATTAACCAGGAGCCTGCCTTGCACGCGTGTTCCTGTTACGGCCGTCAGCCTGCCCAGGCCACAGGGCTCTCTCCAGCCGTGGGCAGCGCCGTCTAAGGAGCGCCCTGAGCTCGCCACAAAGGGCGTCACGTCAGGGATTCTGCATTGACCAGGCAGGTCTCTTGCTCTAAAAACAGGCAGCAGGTATTCTAACAAGGACACAGCTGAAGCCGGAAGAGCCAGACCCCGCCGTGGGCACAGGAAACAACCGTGCTCTAGGCTTGTCTCCACGGAACCCCCGCCACACGACACAGCTTCTGCCTCACCAGAGTGTGGGACAAGAGACGGCAGCTGCCCTTCCTGCGCGACTCCCCAAACCTGCCAGCCCCAGCACCTCCCAGAGGGCACCACGCGGCAAGTCTCTCCACGCCCACGCTCAACTCCCTTCCGAGCCAGGGCAAAATGCTCGCTGAGGGCGAGGTCCCAGGGTCGGCTCCGGAGGGACTGGAGCCACTGGTGGGGGGAGAGCGTCGCTCGGACCCGCAGCTCCCTCCACCCTGCCCGGGGCGGGGGCGCCTCGCGGTGTCACACTGGCTTTCTGACTGTCTCCAGGAGCTCCGGCCTTGGCACACTCCCACCTGCCCGTGTCCGGTCCTAGTGCTGGGCCTGCCTCCCCGGGACGCCCTCCCCCGGTGCTGTGGAAGGGAACGGAGCCCCGGGGACGCACACACCTCTTCTCCTCCTCCTCTCCAGCATCCCCTCTGCAGCGGCAGCAGAAACAGGTAAACAAAGGCACATGTCAGGTCATGCAAGATATGTGACGGGCAGAGAGAGCACGCAGAGGGGTTATCACAGGCAGGGACAAAGAGGACAGAGAGGATTCCAAGTCAGCGTCTCTCCTAGAGGCTCGAGAGCTCACCCAGAGCACAGCCCGTCCGCCCGGAAGCATCTAAGCACCTGCCGCACGCCTGTCCCCCGGCACGGTCAGATCTGCAGTCCCCCAGGAGACCGCCATCGGTCCCTGCTCCAGGAACCCCGTCTCCCAGGAAACACAGCCGCAGCAGGCTGTGTGGGCCTCAAGCAGGCCCCCTGGGGCCCCGCTAGGTTTCTGCTGCCCCCACAGGGAGGGAGTGCCTCTCGGCTGGCCCCCGGCACCAGCATGTGGCGTCCCCCTGGCAGCCAGCTGCCCTGCCTGCCAGGGGGCGAGGCTGGGGTCTGCCCGGCGTTGAGGACCAGGAAGGCTTTTATCACTGACGCTGAGACCAGAGCTCCAAGACCTTGGAGACTTCAGAGCCACGTGGCCGTGGGGCAAGAAGGGGACGCAGGCCTGGGAGGGGCGCGGGGCGGTGTTGCTGCCCCTTGGCTGCCCAGGCGCTGCACACGGCGGGCAGCCACCTTTCCCGGCTCTGGACAGACAGAGCTGCACGGGGTGTCACCGCCAACTCCCCGAGGCTGCCACGGAGAGGGTCTCGGGAGGGGGCCTTCCGCAGCGCCAGCACCACCCTCAGTGAGCTGAGGGGCACGTCCCACCGCCCAGCCCCCCGTCACGGGGCTCCCAGCGACAAGCAGGGTGGAGGGTGGTCCCGCGGTGGGGCCGGGGGTGGGCGGGCCTGGTGGTCTCACTCAGTGGGAGCTTGCATTTTTAGGAGGGTCAGGCCAACTCATGCCGGAGCCCTGGGACAGACAGCGCTCATGCAGGCTGAGCACCCCCACCCGCGAAGCTGTGCGCGTCCGGGCTTCAGGCAGCTTGCAGGGCGCCGGGGCCGGGAGGGTGGGAGGGAAACGTGTGCACGTAGCTCAGCCGTCTGTGCTCTCCTCTTCAGACACCGGGGGACAGCCTCTCCCCGGGCCTGCGTCCTGAGCAAAACGGGCCGCTCCTGGCTCCTACCTGGTGGTGGGGGACCGCTTTCTCCTCTCGCAGTGGACGGCGTCGAAAAAGGCTGCGTTCCAGAACCTCAGCGTGTGCCTGCGGGACAGACACACACGTGAGGGGAGGGCGGCAGAAACACAGGCCCCGCCCGGGCCCACGTGAGGCACGAAGACGAGGGCTTTCCCACATCCGCCCGAGCCTCCAAGAGCCTCGGAGAGGAAGCGCTGAGGAGAACGAACGCGCGGGTGACTCGGTCCTAAACAGGCTTCCCCGGGCTCTCAGGAGGCAGCGCAGGAAGGGGAGGAGAACTGGGCACGGAAGGCACCGCGGAGGCGGGACGGAGCCAGGATGTCCTGGGTGCGGTGGCCTGGGGGGGCTGGTTCCCCGTGGATGTCCTGGGTGCGGCGGCCCAGGGGGGCTGGTTCCCCGTGGATGTCCTGGGTGCGGCGGCCCGGGGGGCTGGTTCCCCGTGGATGTCCTGGGTGCGGCGGCCCGGGGGGCTGGTTCTCCGTGGATGTCCTGGGTGCGGCGGCCCGGGGGGCTGGTTCTCCGTGGATGTCCTGGGTGCGGCGGCCCGGGGGGGCTGGTTCCCCGTGGATGTCCTGGGTGCGGCGGCCCAGGGGGGCTGGTTCCCCGTGGATGTCCTGGGTGCGGCGGCCCGGGGGGCTGGTTCCCCGTGGATGTCCTGGGTGCGGCGGCCCAGGGGAGCTGGTTCCCCTTCTCCAAGAGGAAGCGGAGGGTGGGAGGGCCCGCTGTTCCGGGAGGGATGTGCCACGTGCAGAGAACACACACGTGCACAGGGAAATCCGAGTATGCAAAATGCTTCTTCAAGATCAGGGGTCAGAGCCAACGCTGTGCTGTAGCCGGTAAAGCTGCGGCCTGCAGTGCCGGCCTCCCGTATGGGCGTCAGTTCCAGACCCGGCTGCGCCACCTCCCGTCCAGCTCTCCGCCATGGCCTGGGGAAGCAGTGGAGGATGGCCCAAGTCCTTGGGTCCCTACACCCTCATGGGAGACCCAGAGGAAGCTCCTGGCTCCTGACTTTGGATTGATGCAGCTCTGGCCATTGTGCGCCCCAACTGGGGAATGAACCAGTGGATAGAAGACCTCTCTCTCTCTCTCTCTCTCTCCCCCTCCTTCTCTCTGTGTATAACTCTGAATTTCAAATAAATAAATAAATCTTAAAAAAAAAAAAAAAAGATCAGGGGTTGGGGCCGGCGCTGTGCTGTAGCGGGTAAAGCTGCTGCCCGCAGTGCCGGCATCCCCTATGGGCGTCGGTTCGAGACCCAGCTGCTCCACTTCTGATCCCGCTCTCTGCTGTGGCCTGGGAAAGTAGCAGAGGATGACTCAAGTTCTTGGGCTCCTGCACCTGCCTCAGAGACCCAGAGGAAGTTCCTGGTTCCTGGCTTCGGATCATCACAGCACCAGCTATTGCAGCCATTTGAGGAGTGAACCAGTGAAAGAAAGACCTCTCTCTGTGTGTCTCTGCCTCTCTGTAACTCTGCCTTTCAAATAAATAAATAAATCTTTAGGGGAAAAAAAAAAGATCAGGGGTCTGGTGTGGCCCAAACCCAGCTGCCATTTCTGTAAATAGTTTTATCGGAATGAAGTCATGCTCACGTACTGGGGAACTAGCTACAGTGGCTTTTGCTCTGCAGCAGCACAGCACCAGAGCCTGTGCGGCCCCGACGGCGGCCACGGTCATCACGTGGCCCTTCGCAGAAATGCTTCCCCAGCCCATACCCAGGAGGTGAGATACGGCTAGGCCAGGGACCGGGAGCAGCTAACCCCTGCACACGAGCCACAGGGACTGGCTCCACCTCCCCTCTCTGCTGCCACAGGAACTGGCCACCCAGGCCACTTACATGTCTCCCAGAGCTCCATCCTGAGATGGCCATGCCTGTGACAAGGCCCGGGCTTTGCGATGGGCTATTCTGACCACTGCGAGGCTGTGACTGCGGGGGAGGGGCTGTGCCAGGGCAGCACCGCCCTTGTGATGGTGACGAGAGCCTTCAGAGGCATCAGAGTGACACAGACAGCCGTCCACGGCCGGTGGGGGACAAGGGCCCTCCTGACCTCTGACCGCCCACCACCACCATGGCCTTCATTCATGTATGTGTGTGTATACAACGTGTACATCCAAGAGCTCTATGAGAATTTAATTCACACCCATAAGCCCACCCTCGGAAGCGCACGGCCCAGGGGTCTCTAGCGCAGAGTCGTGCCAGGACCAGCACTGTCTGTTTCCAGCACAGTTCCATCACCCCGTGAAGCAGCCCTGAGACGCTACCCAGCAACTGTCCCCCTCGCTGTCCCGGGGCTCTGCCCGTGCTGGCCACGCCGCAGGACAGAATCACACGGCAGGTGGTCCTTTGCGTCTGACTTCCTCCCCCCGGCACCCTGCTTCTGAGGGCCACCCACCCAGCCTCAGCGTGGCCAGCACTCCATCCCCGCACGGCCGATAACAGCGTGTGGCACGGGCAGACCGCGTTCTGCTTCTCTGTTGCCAGCAGACACTCGAGCTGGCTCTGCCCTTTGGTCGCCATGACCCTGGTGCTCAGGGTGCGTGTGGACGCGTCCTCATCTCTCTGGGGTCTGCACCTAGGTGGACCTGCTGGGCCACCTGCTCCGTGTGGGGGTAACAGGCAGACAGTCCTCCACCGCCGGCCCCCGTCTACGCGCCTCCCAGCAGCGCAGGACAGCTCCAGTGTCCCCGCATCCTTGCCGACACCTGTCAGCACTCGTATTTAGGATCTGGGCCTTCTCACAGCCCCATCTCTGGGCAGCAGCTGCCCGCCAGGGCCGGCGGGGCCTTACCAGATGGGCTGCTGCTTGAGGTGCGTGTACAGGTAGATCTTCTCCCCCTTCATCTCGTCGTCTGGACTGCACACTGTCACTGCAGGGGAGAGCGAGAAGCCGGGGGGCGCGGGCTGTGCATTCGCGGTCAGCACCCCACACGCCCCACCTCCCAGCGGCCACTGCTCCTCACAGCTCAGTGAGACACACAGCTGACCCTACAGCAGCTGCTCTGCCGCCAGCGCCAGCGGCGGGACAGGACGCTCCCGGGGGACAGTTCCCGGCGGCTGCCCCTTCCCAGGAACGCCTGACTTTCCTGGGATTAGCACAGCAGCTCTCCCGTGGGAACTCAGCAGACAACACAGGCCAGCCTAGGAGTCCCCTAAGACGACACCGCCGTGCTCACAGAGGTGAGGAAGGCCCCGGAATGTCTGTGGATGCTGGTCAGCGGTGGGCCTGGCTACAGGACAGGCTACTCACCCGTCTTGGGCAGCTTCTGCTTGGCCTTGTTCTCATCCTCCCTGGAGAGAGAGACCACAGTAAGGACAAACGTGCCCACGCCGCAGTCTCCTTACGTTTCTGGGACGGGACTGTGTGCGCCTGACGCCGTTCTCCCCAGAGGATCTCATGAAAGCGGTGCTGTTTGTCGCCCGCCAGAGGAGACGTGCGGCAGAGGGCCCTGCCCGTCGTCCCCCGAGCACAGAACCGGACGCACTGGCGGAGAGTGAGCTGAGTCACGCCGACGAGACCGGGCTTGGCAGTGCCAGCGGGGACCACGGGGACTGAAGACTCCCTCTCGTGGACGTGGCCCCTCCTTCCGGAAGCCTCGGCTTCGCTGCCCCCGGGCCTAATGTTCCCAGCCCCCAACGGAACTGCTCTCCTCGGAGACGGTGGTGGTCTCCTGGGTCTTTCCTGTTTTTCATTAGCACGGACTCTCACCATGGCTGGAGGAGGAGGAGGAGGGAGGAGAAGGACTAGTAGGGGGCAGAGGGGA